GCCTCTCCACCCAACCGAACAGGGCTTCAGACTCTAACATGAGGAGATGGGACCTTGTGCCCCCTTCTCTGTTCACATGCACCTTGGCTGAGATGTTGTCCGTTAGGATCGAAATGTGTTGATCTTGAACTATGGCTTTAAAGTGGTGTAGAGCCAGCCTGATCGCCTGGAGTTCCAGGAGGTTGATGCTGTTGCGCTGCTCGCGACGAGACCACTGGCCTTGTACTGCTAGGTTGTGAAGGTACGCTCCCCACCCTCGAAGACTTGTGTCTGTGGTGAGGATCAGTCTGTCTGGGTCTAAAAATTCTGAGCCCTTGAGGAGCGAGGGAGATGTCCACCACTTGAGGGAGAGGCGAACGTGGGAGGTGAGAAGGACTTTGTGCTTCGAGTTGGCTTTTCCCGACCGCTGAAAGGGAAGGAGAAACCATTGGAGCGCCCTCGAGTGTCTGCGTGCCCACGGTACGATGCCGAAGCAAGAGTCCATTTTCCCGAGAAGGCATGATAGTTGAAGGGTACCTTTCTCCTTGTCAGGATCTGTTGAGCTAGGTTTCGAATGCTCTGGACCCTGTCCGGTGACAGGAGGACCTGACCCTTGACTGAGTCTATCACTGCCCCCAGATGGAGGATCCGGGTGGAGGGCTGGAGGTGACGTTTCTCAAAGTTGATCGTGAAGCCGTGATCCTGGAACGCTTTTAGGACCAGTTCCATGTCCCTGACTGCCTGGTCGTGTGACGACGAGAGGATCAGAATGTTGTCCAGGTAACAGAGGACTCGAACCGGAATGGCTCAGAGTCTGGCTGCCACTACCGCTACCAACTTGGTAAAGGTGCGGGGTGCTGACGATAGTCTGAAGGGCATTGCGCGGTGCTGAAAGTGCCAGCCCGGGTACTCAAACCTCAGAAACTGACGGTGATCTGGGCGGATGGACACATGTAGATAGGCTTCTCACAGGTCTACTGACTGAAGCAGGTCTCCTTGCCTCACCCCCACTAGGATTGATCAGAGGGAATGCATTTTGAACCTTCGGTACTGAACTGACAGGTTGAGATGTTTTAAGTTTAGGATGCCCCTCCAGCCTCCGGAACTCTTGGGAACGAGGAACAGGCTCGAATAGAACCCCGAGCCGTATTGGTTCGGTGGCACTGGTTCTATGGCTCTGACTTCTAAGAGATGGGCCAACTCCTGGGACATTAGACATTGGAGTTCCTTGGACTGTGGGATCGGGCAGCGCACAAAACGATGGGGCAGCGGCCCTGAAAATTCGATGGATAGTCCTGATGAGGTTGTGCGCCTTACCCACGAGTCCGATGTTGACCGGGCCCATTGCTGGTGAAAGAGAAGTCTTCCCCCTATGGGCCCTGTGGAGTTGGAGTCACTTCCCTCTTCTGGCGGGTTTGAATACGGACCCGCGGAATGGACGTTTGGATTCTTGGTTCTGGCCTCGGTCTCGGAACTGCTGTCTGTCATGGAAGCTTATCGGCTCCTTGATATTGGGAGCTGTGTGAGGAGGACCCCCTGGGCCCTGAGCTGGGACAAAAGGGCTGCTGGTGGGGGTAGGGTGAGTATCTCCGTTCCTGGCGATGAAAAGACGACGGGAGCACTTTCCTTTTGTCCTTGTCCTTTACTAGGATGGGTTCTAGGGCTGCCCCGAACAAGTCAGGTGCTTTGTACGGCGCTGCCGCCAGCTTCCACTTAGCCTTGAGGTCGGCCTTCCAGGGGCGTAGCCAGAAAAGTCTCGCCGTAACAGTGGAGGCTAGGGCCCTCGATGTGAATTTTGCCGAATTTAGAGATGCGTCCGCGGCATACTCGGTGGCAGCTACTATTTTATTTATGTCTTGATGTAGCCTGGTGTCCTTGGGAGGTAGTCTTTCCTGCATTTGACGGAGCCAGATGAGGGCCATTCTGTTAAAAAAGGATGTGGCTGTTGCTGATCTGATTACCCAAGCCACCGCCTGGTGTGCCTTGCGGAAGGCCCACTCTGTCCTTTTGTCCTCCACCTTGAATCCATCCAATGCATCCGTGGAGATCATGGAGGCTGAGGATAGGGTTGCAACCGGCTGGTCTACTGATGGGAGGACCAGCAGGTCCCCCAGTTCTGGAGCCGAGCAATACAGTTTCTTGTCCAGACTGCTAGGTGTTGTTAGGGAGGCCGGTTGCCCCCAGGGGTTCTGGATTAAATCTGCAAACAATTGTGGGCAGTGTATACAGTCCTTTTCCGGTTTAGAGGACTTGAAGAGGGCATAGTGTGGCCCCACCATGGTAGGCAGGGATATCCTGACTTCCCCCGGCACTCCCAGATTAGTCGTGAGACGCGCTTTATGGAGAAGTGACTTGAATAAAGCCGGCCTGCACAGTCTGGTGAAGGCCGGGGTGTCGGGCATCAACCCTTCATCCTCTGAGAATTCGATATCCTCTGGCCCCTCCTCTGCTTGGTCCGACTCATCAGACGAAGATGCTTGGGCTTGAGGGGGATGATGATGGGACTGAAGCTGTTGGTGCGCCCCTTGGGCCGGAGCTGGATGTAAAGGCGGCTGTGATGCTTGCTGCAGACTTGCCGCTAGGAAGGAAGAAAAGGCTGACAAAAACATAGCCTGAAAGTCCAGTTGAGTTGCTGGCGCGGGCCCCCCCTGTGATCATAGGCCTGCTGCTGTCGGGCTGAAGATCGCCTCCGGCTGGTGTTGGCCTGGTGAGCAGGCCGCTGACACGTCTGGGGCAGAGGGGGGGCTTCCTCCTGGTGCAGAAAGGAATGGCCTGATCTGACGAGGACAGGGGTCGCTGGGGTCAGGGCCAATTCAGCCAGGCTTGAGATGCCTGATTCTGTCTCCCTAGCTGTTGTGGGTGCATCCTTTGCGGGTCCAGGCTCCATGGCCTGAGAGGCAGCCGCCGCCTTCTGTGCCTTTGTGCACTGGCGCTCCAGCGCTTTGTGGCGTCTTAAGGCATCCTTATCCTGGGCAGAGAGCACCTTGTCCGGTCCAGTTTTGCATCTGGAGCTCTCAGACCGCTTCCTCGCACTCTTTTTGGATGATTTGGCCCCTTGCGTGGTGGGCTTAATTTCAGCTCCAGGTCGGAAGAAAGGGAAGAGTCAGACATGACTTGCTGCCAGCTAGGGCGTCATGTGTAGCTGACCGCCTTGGAGCGTGGACACGCAGCCGATTGTAGACCAATAATCTGCTGAGGGCCCGAGGGTCCCCCAAGCTGGCCCCTGTTGCAAGGGCTCCCTGTAGGCAGGGTCCTGCTGGTTGCCCAATCACCTGGTATGCTCTAGCAAGTGGCTCCCTGGTGGTCGAGGGAGGGGCCGGTCTACGGTGCCAGGCCAAAATGGCAGCCCGGAGGTCTGTCAAAATGGCGGGCGCACGTGGCGCGAGGCTTGGAAGTGCACGTTTCGCACCACGGACTTGCACTGGCGGGCCGATGGTCCTACCAGATGCCGCGCGCTGTTGCGATCTAGCGAGGCGTTTCTGTAGTGTAGAGGGGAATCGGCACGGCTCACCGAGGCTCCCGCAGCTGCACGCCGCTGTTCTTCGTCTCAACTGCTGGATTCGAGCCGTGGCGGCAGTGATCGCTCTGGGAGGGGGCTTCCGAAACTAGCGCCCCTTTCTCAGCGACAGCAGAAATCCACCCGGTGGAATATTGGAGGAAGCACCGGGCGCTAATAGTTAGAGCGTGGGCGGCCCAAAGCTCTGAGCCCACCGCCCAGCTGATGAGCGCTCCCACCGCTTTTAGTGCCTAAGCGAGAGCCGAACGCGGCAAAAAACAAAAAAGGTACTCAAAAATAACTAAAAGCCTAAGCGCCCCTAGGAAAGGGAATCAAGGGAGACAAGGGAGAGAAATACATGTGAAGATTCAGGAGCTCCCCAAAAACACTTCAGCGTTTGCCAACAACTGAGTGAAGACTGGGGTATCACAGGTTTGGGGGCGTGGCTAGGGAGCCGGAAAGGGAAATCTTTAGTTTCACTTAGTTGTTTGCCAAAGGCTGAAGGATTAACCCATGCATGGATAGTGGGAGCAGCGCACAGGAAAAGGGATGGTTCTGCACAAGCGGCAGTCCAGCACACACCGTTCCATTTGCACAAGTGGTGGGCATGCGCACCCACTTGCACAAATGGAGCGGTGAGCTCTTCTGCTGTGCATGCAAGTATATGCGCTCATCCACTGCTTCCACATCCCAGTTCTGAACTGGCTGTGGCCTGATAGTGGGCTGCAGCCCAGGAGACCCGTTATATCGCATGAGCTGCGGTGGCACAGTGGTTAGGGTGCCGTACTGCAGGCTACTTCTGCTGATCACCAGCTGCCAGCAGTCTGGCAGATTGAATCGCACCAGGCTCAATGTTGACTCAGCCTTCCATCCTTCTGAGGTCGGTAAAATGAGGACCTAGATTATTGGGGGCAAGAGGCTGACTGTAAACCACTTAGAGAGGGCTGGAAAGCACTGTGAAGTGGTATGTAAATCTAGGTGCTATTGCTATTTCCTGGTGTAAAAATAATACAATATACATTCAATGGAAAGTACAGTATATCTTAAGTCTAGAATTCTAAGCTTTTCTAGCTCTAGGTGGTGAGCATGTTTATTCTGTTAAAGGAACAAAAAAAATGGTATTGCTCTTCTGGACTTTAACCATATGCAATTACTTACCTAATATTCACTGCTGCTTTCTTTTGTAATTATAGTTAAATATCAAATGTTCACTATTTCTACTAAATAATCACCCTAAGGGGTGTGTTTTTACACTACTTAACATTTAGCCTGCATGTTGTAGCTCCATCAGTTCAATGTGGCCATTTAAGATCATAATAAAGGTTAATCTCCACCTATATTATTATGTGCAGGGGAGAGAGTCACATCATTAGTGACGTATATCTGTGTGCCTAGCTTTCCCCTCAAAGTTAGTCAGGGAAAAGCTGCACATGGGTGTTGGCTAAACTATTCTATATCTGAGCTTCTGAGAAGGACCCCGACAGGACAGATCACAACAATAAGAGAGACATGCCTGGTAACTTACCCCTCCTGATAATTTTATCACCCTGACTTTGGTGCCGATATGGGGCCCATCGCCACTCCCACTGTTTGCCCGTTGCATGACAGTTCTTTTCATCCCAGGCTTCACCTCCTGAGGCTGGCTTTGCACCAACGCCACCCGACTAATCTGGGGCAGGTTCACCTGCGCAGCAGCAGGAGACTTCACTTGCAAAGGTTTATAGGATGGCTGGAGCTCATTTTCAGGCACTGTCCTAGCCTGCCGTAGTTGCTTTATGGTTTTTATTTGCTGTCCTTGAAATTGTGCGCCGTCTCCAGCCTGGAGAACATTTGCAGGCTTAGGTAGAACAGTCGGGGAACTTGGAATGACCGGCTCTTGTTTTTTAACCATTAGTCTATATTTCACATTTTGGCGGGATTGTGCACCAGGAAGACAAAGCGATGGGTTTCCATTGGTAGGCAGCTGTGAAAGGTCTTCCTCCTCCTGTTGGCCTGCAGAGACTTGTGGTTGCTGCTGCTGCTGTGCCAACCTTTCCAGCAATTCTCTTTTTCGGGCCCCAGCTTGAAGCTGCCGCCTGAGCTCTTTTTGTTTCAAGATCTCTTCTCTGAGGCGTTTCTGTTCCTCAATCTTCAAACGGTACTGTCTGGTTTCTTCATCTTCATCGGGAAACTGCAGGATAGCCACAAAAGAAAGTTAGGCGCGGTAAAAAAATATATCCAACTTTGCCCCCTTAACCCCCCTCCCAAAGGTGACACTTGTTAAAAAGATAGCACGCTTTCCCAGTGGTATTCTTAAATTAACTGAAATGCCATCTTTAATGACAAAGCTGCTAACAAAGGCTTATGAGCAATTAATCAAACAAGCATCGAGGAGGCAAGATATATGTATACATATATACATATATACATATATACATATATACATATATATACACATATATATACACATATATATATATATATATGTAGGTCTTTGGTTATTTGAGTTTTCTCCCGCGTAAAATTGGAAGTGTCTTGGTGACGTTTTGACGAAGTCTCATTCGTCTTCTTCAGGCTGGTGTTTTCGGCTTCGTGCTTCTAGGAGCAATTTCCTAGAAGCACGAAGCCGAAAACACCAACCTGAAGATGACGAATGAGACTTCGTTGAAACGTCGCCAAGACACTTCCAATTTTACGCGGGAGAAAACCCGAATAACCAAAGACCTACATATAAACACCTGTGAAAACTTCAGTACACACACACACACACACACACACACACACACACACAACTCTACTTTGGATTTTTTAAATTCAGTAAATCAAAGCTGAAACTGAAGCCTTCTAAATCGGAACTCATTTAGAAGTTGCTGAAACTAATTAAACTATTAATATAATTCAAGAACTCAAATATTGTTTCAAATGAGAGCAGTAACAATAAGAGGCAGCCCACTGTGTCACACAGGTTTTATCTTGCTCTTTTCTGACAAACTAACAAAAGGTAGGATGGTAAATGACCTGAAAGGCCCTGATTAGAACTATTGATTTTTCTTACAGAATTTTCAGCCTGATCTGAAACTCATTTGTCACACAATAATTGGTTATAATGAACAGCGCAAGTCAATCTCTCTGACCTTGAACTCATGCACTCTCTTCAGAATTAAAATGTTGCCAAACGCAATGTTGGAATATTAATGGAATATCAGGAATGGCTTTAATATTCCAGCCTTAAGCTTTTTAGAAAGTATTGCGGCCTTTGTGTGCCTAATAATCTCTCCAGCAGCCTTAAAACTCCAGCAGGATATATATCCTTATTCAAAGCTGCTGGGAAATAAACAGTAAAATTTTTTTTGTTTTTTTTTTTAATTTGCATCTTCAACATACTTTAATAATGTGAATTGCTGCTTGTCAAACGTAACAGCAGTCTTTACTCTTACAGAAGGCTACAAACCATCTACAATGTACAATAAATTTACTATTCTTTGATAATAGATTTAGTTGCTTAGATTTATTATCTATATAACATTTCCATTAAAGAATATTGAGGATACAAATACTGTTAAGAAAACTATGCGTTCGGAAAGCAGTTACACGAAAATGAAAAAAAAAACTAAGAAGAATGTTATACCGTAATATTAATAGAATTAATGTAATAATCACTAATTGAAATTGTGACTATTCTTTTCTAGCTTATGTAAAAAATCTTAAAAGTTCACTGCTTAGTAGAAATTATCATTTATTTTGTGTAGTTACCTTTCAAAGTTACAATACCTCCGAACGCTTACAACCACCGCAGTATCCCCGTGATCAAAATTTGGGCACTTGGCAACTGGCATGTATTTACGAAGGCTGCAGCATCCTGGAGTCACGTGACTGACATTTGCAATCTTCCTAACCATCGAAGTCAATGGGGAAAACCTGGATTCACTTAACAACCATCTGATTCACTTACCAACTACAGTGATTTGCTTAACAACCATGGCAAAAAAAGGGTGATAAAATTGGGTGCAACTGACTTAACAACTGCTTTGCTTAACAACAGAAATTCTAGTGCCAACTGTGGCCATGAGTAGAAGACTACCCTGTTTCCCCGAATATAAGATATCGCCTGATAATCAGGCTTTTGAGCGCATGTGCTAAAATAAGCCTCCTCCCGAAAATAAGCCCTCCCTGAAAATATTTAAATGCAGAGCTGGAAATCAGGTAAGACAGCAAGAGAAGCCCCATCTTGCTCCACGCACCCCAAAATAATAAGACCTCGCCAAAAACAAGGCTAAGCGCTTATTACGGGGTTCAAAAAAATATAAGACAGGGTCTTATTTTCGGGGGAACACGGTACCTGTACCAAATTCTCCCACCCTGCATATTCTTAACCATTCCATCCATTTCTCTTGCCTACTTGGGAAACTCCAACATTGTTAGTAAACACTAAATAAGTAAACACCCTGAGCAGAAATTAAAATTTGAAAGGTTCTACTTTTTTCTGGAGTGGCTCAGCTGTTAAGATGGTGGGCTTGTCAGCTGAAAAGCCAACAGGCTGGGTTCAAGACCCAAGCACTGCATGCTGCAATCATCTTGCCCCAGATCCTGCCAATTTAGTAATTGCATGCTTAGTTCGAAAGCGTGCAAATGCAAATAGATAAATAGGTACCACTTCAGCAAGAAAAGTTACTATGTTCTGTATTTTCATGCTGGCCCCACAATGATGGAAGCATCTCTCAGACAATGCGGGCTCCCTTGGCTGAGAATCAGAGGTGAGTATCGTCCCCTTGAGTGGGGTCATGACTGTTAGCCCTTTACTACATTTTCCCAGAAGCATCATTCCCAGAAATTCAGAGCCCTGGCACAGTAGGTCCTGAATCTAAAATTTAGATCTTTAGATTTGTAGCATCGGATTGCCTCCAAGTATCTGATCCAAATAACCCTAACCCTATCAGCGTAAAAAATAAGTCTAGGTTTTAAATGCTTTACTGCCAAAGATGACAATTTCCCCAAATGGGTATTGTTATTATATAGCCTATATAAAATCTAAGCAACTATTAGTTAGAAAAGATTTCAGTGGTTAACATGTACAGCAAAATTATACACTTAGGATCCCTGAAATGCAGGGGTGAAATCAGCAGGTTCTGACAGGTTCTGGAGAACTGGTAGTGGAAATTTTGAGTAGTTCGGAGAACCGGCAAATACCACCTCTGGCTAGCCCCAGGGTAGGGTGGGAATGGAGATTTTGCAATATCCTTCTCCTGGAGTGGGGTGGGAATAGACTTTGCAGTATTCTTCTCCTGCCACGCCCACCAAGCCACACCATGCCCACCAAGCCATGCCCACAGAACCAGTAGTAAAAAAAATTGAATTTCACCACTGCTAAAATGGCTCTCAGAGGCCCTTAGATGTTATATTAAATAAAATAGAAGGGGGAATGATTAAAAACATGCCTTACAACAGTTCATTTGGTGACCATTCAAAGTTACAATGCACTGAAAAAAAGGGACTTATGACCATTTCTCACATTTACAACTGTTGCAGCATCCCCATGATCAAAATTCAGATGCTTGGCAACTGATATTTATGACAGTTGCAGTATGCCGGGGTCATGTGATCACCTTTTACGACCTTCTGACAAGCAAAGTCAATGGGGAAAGCAGATTCACTTAACAACTGTGTTACTAACTTAACCACTTCAGTGATTCATTCAATAACAGTGGCAAGAAAGGTCGTAAAATGGGGCAAAACTCACTTAACAAATGTTTCAGTGAGCAACATGAATTTTGGGCTCGATTGTAATTGCGACTCGAGGACTACCTGTAATCATTTTAATGAAATGTTCAATAAAAGCAGATTGACTTCTTACCTCACTCCCCAGCTTACTGCTCAAAGGAAAGTGTAATAATTTGGAAGGACGTAGCTGCTTAAACATGAGTGTCCCCCGTTTCCATAGGAAGGCTTCCATCTCTCTCGTATGAATACCTAGGGAATTCTTGGAGTCGAAGTCTACAGCTCTTAAAGCGGCAAAGGTTAGACATCCCTGTCCTACATGAAAGGCCACTAAATAGAACATCTTTCCTGCTGCAAAGATTAAATCGGGAAAGAATTCTGTTCCACTTCATTTTGCAGTGCAGCTACAATATAGTGAAATACAGCTGCTACTTTCTGATATTTGCTCACTTTTATGTATTAGCAAGGAGAACGTCTGCTTTTAGGCTAAATGGAATTTATTTTCTCTGTCATGTGACTCAGATGATGTTTTTATTTAGGAACTCAAAAAACTCCCCAAGGAATGGAAAGTTCCATAGAAACTGTTTCGCTACTGCATCTATCAAATTGAAATACAGGTAGTCTTCGTCTTACAACCATTTGTTTAGGGACCATTAGAAGTTACAATGGCACTGAAAAAAGTTACTTATGACCAGTTTTCACACTTACGACCATTGTAGCATCCCCACCGTCATATGATCAAAATTCGGCAATTTTGGCAAACAATTTTGGCAAACTGGCATGAATTTACGACAGCTGCTTGAATTGTCCCGAGGTCATGTGATCCCCATTCATAATCTTCCCAGCCAGCTTCCGACGAGCGAAGTCAATGGGGGAAGCCAGATTTGCTTAACAACCACGATTCACTTAACAATTGTGGCCAAAGGGTCATAAAATGGGGGCAAAACTCACTTAACAACTGCCTTGCTTAGCCACAGAAATTTATACTGGAAAAATTGAGATTAGGTCAGCCTCCTTTGTGACTTCACAAGCCCTGTGGAAAAAGTACCCACCACAGATTCCGATGCCCCCAAACCTGCTAGCCTTTTGTAGCATTCTGAAGACCTGGATTTTCTTCCAGGATTTAGGGAAGGGTGAAGTGACCAGATGAGATTGGTTGGTGTTGATGATACGATTCTGATTTCCAGGTTTGTAATTGAGGCATGGTTTTATACCAGTGGTGAAATGTAAAATTTGTTACTGCTGGTTCTGTGGGCATGGCTTGGTGGTGGTGGTGGGGTAATGTGACTGGGTGGCATGGCCAACTTTTTTTTTTTTTAACTTTTGACAGCATTTTTTCTACAACCTCTTCAGCCGAAGAGGTTGTAGAAAAAATGCTTTTAAAAGGCTGACGATCCCAGCTGAGCCGCACGATCATCAGAGGCTTTTTTTTACTTTTAAAAGCATTTTTTTTGGCCGAAGAAAAAATGCTTTTAAAAGTAAAAAAAAAAAAAAAAAAGCCTCTGATGATCCTGAAGCTCAGCTGGGCATGGGGGGGAGAGGGCGGGGCAGGGATTTTTTGCTACCGGTTCTCCGGACCACCCATCATTGCTACCAGATCGCACGATCCGGTCCGAACCGGGAGCATTTCACCCCTGGTTTATATCATCTTGATTGTTTTAATGCTTTGTTCTGCTGTGATAGGACTGTACATCACCCAGAGTCACTGCTATCTGTCTGCCAAGTAAAAGATGGAAAGAATGGAGCAGTATGCCATCGGAAAAACTGACGGGAAGGAGTTTTCCTTCGCTTTCATTTGCAATGCAGCAGGGCACTTCAGGCTGCATATTTTTAGACATGTGCAAAAACGGCAATCAGGCGTTTTATGCAGGCGCAATAGCACTAGCAATAGCACTTAAACTTATATACCGCTTCACATTGTTTTGCAGCCCTCTCTAAGCGGTTTACAGAGTCGGCATATTGCCCCCAACAATCTGGGTCCTCATTTTACCCACCTCGGAAGGACGGAAGGCTGAGTCAACCTGGAGCCTGGTGAAATTTGAACTGCCAAATTGCAGGCAGCTGGCAGGCAGCAGAAGTAGCCTGTAGTACTGCACTCCAACCACTGCGCCACCGCAGTGGTCTTCCAGATTTAACAGACATTGGGGCTTAACATATACCTCTTCTGTCTGAGTGGTCTGTTAAATCAAAATGTAAAGTGTCTGAACATAAAAAGGAATGCATGTTGGCAGGTAATAAAACTGGGAACATGAGTACAGAAAAGTACTGAAACGCAAACACCTTTGGTCAAAACCGCTACTGAAACAAAGATGGGTGCCCAATGCACCTAGGCCTCTGCTAGAGGGGGGACCCTTACCTCTGGTTCAGATTTGACCTCCACCTTAGGCTGAGTCGCGGGAGTAGCTGTTTTAGGCTTGGACTCCAACTTTCCCGGTTGGTTCTTGACACCTGCAACAGGTTTCATAGCAACTGTAGTGCTAGAAACCGGCTTCGTTTGAACAGAAGGAGCTGAAGTTCTTCGGTTGTTGTTAGCAGTCTCAATCGCATGCAAAGGTGCTATTGGCAATTCACGCAAATTACTATTCCTTGAGGCAGATGACTGGGCCTGCTGGTTTGGACGTTTTACAATGCTTTGTGTTGGTGTGTTCTGAAACAAACAAACAAAAAAAATCTTATCCTATAAAGATGTAAAGGTCTTGTCCTCTACCAAGTCAAATTTCAGGATTCTTCAATGGAAAAGAACTGATAAACAGGCAGTATAACCTCCCTCTAGTAAGAAAATCTGAGAGGTCTAAATTTGGCTAAATTGCTTTTAAACGAAGCTGTCCTACACCACCACCCCTCCTGCCCTGAGATTAACTAGCCAGAAAGAACTTTGCTTTCATCTCAAGGTCTGTCTGGGGGAAGGAAAAGACTGCCCTGCTCCAAGTAATATGAAACAAGAAGCTTCTAGAACTCAGCAATTAATCAATGGCATGATGAGTTCCAGGATCCGTTGTAAGTAACAAGTTGGATTGGGTTACAAGTTTTGGTTTTAATTTCAGTGTGCCCGAATCCTAGTCTTGTTAGTTTCACAACTATACAGGTAGCCCTCGACTTACAAAAGTTTGTTTAGTGACTATTCAAAGTTAGAATGGCACTGAAAAATGTGACCCATGATTGTTTTCCACACTTATAATCATTGCAGCATCTTCATGGTCACACGATCAACATCCAATCACTTGGCAATTGGTTCCTATTTATGACAGTGTCCTGAGGTTATGTCATGATCACCTTTTGCCACCTTCTGACAAGCAAAGTCAATGAGGAACCCAGATTCACTTAACAACCATGTTACTAACTGAACAACTGCAGTGATTCATTTAGCAAATGTAATAAGAAAGGTTGTAACACAGGGCAAAACTCACTCAATAACTGTCTCGCTTAGCAACATAAATTGTGGGCTCAGTTGTGGTTGTAAGTCGAGGACTACCTGTAATTGCAATAAGCTCAGTCTTCATTTCAGATCATCTTAACTTACTATTACTTTGTTAACACATACTATTGTTTTCTGATGCTCAACCCTGCTTCTCTTTGCTACCATAGTGTTTTCTAATAATACTGTAAGTACCTGTGTGCCAATTTGTCTCTTGGGAATTATAATGTGATATAACCCCCTTCAGACAGTCTAACAGCTTTGTAAATTGCAAGCTGCTGGTTTTAAACTGCCTTTGCATTTTCTTTTCTTTTATTCTTTCTTTCAGCCTTATTCATGGCTCCCTAGGGGATGGGGCTGTAATAAATACCAGTGAAAGCAACCCTAGCTACTTTCTATCCAGGCTATCCATAGTTTGGTGGCACAGGCCCAGTGGTGGGATAAATGAAAAACTCCTTACACCTCCTGATATTGAACTCATAATCCATGCTAATGGCAGGCAATCTATAGCGCTTTATAAACTATAAAGTTTATAGTTTCCCCAGGTCTTCTATGAATTTTTGCTCCAAAAGACGCATTAGTGCTTATTTTCTAGTTAGGCCTTATTTTCAGGGAAATATGGTACTAAATGTGTCCATCTGGCTGATGAGCTTAACTGGGGCTTATTTTGGGGGTAGGTCTTATATTATGAGCATCCTGGGGGAAAAAAATTATGCTGACTTATTTTCCAGTTGGAAAATAAGTACTTATCCCCTGCTCCCGGCACCTTATACTCGGGAGTCCAATCAATTCAAAGACAAGTGCTTACCTATATGGTGGTAGCTTGACTCCATAATATACCAATCTAGTATGTCAACAGATGAGTGAATGGAGTCATATTAAAGTACACTTCACAGGGATGTAGAAGGGGGTGTGGAATGAGGGGAGAAAGGAAAACAGATGGGATGTAATTACCTCCAGAGCACTTTCTAGGGGTTAAGAGAGAGGACATGGGCCGGTGGGCCTTCTTGGGTTCAAACCTCTCCTGTTCTACAGGAATAACTGGACTATTCTTTCAGCCTGATTTTGAGCAAAAGAATTTATCTTGTATCACTGTAACTATAGTTACTATGTAACACTGTAAATTTATCATATACACAGTAACTATACTGTGTAGAGTTTGGATATCTGAGACCGCTTTTTTTCAATAGTGCTCTCCAGGTTCCCGCTATTAAACCTTGTCATTGTGTGGGACTAAGGAAACATACCATCTCTACTGTGCCCCCCCATCCTCTAGAGCAGGGATCTCCAACCTTGGCAACTTTAAGCCTGGCAGACTTCAACCCTCAGAAGTCCTCAGCCTGCTTTGCCAAGGTTGAAGACCTCTGCTCTAGAACGGCATCTCCACCGAAGATAAGGATAGTCCCCTCTCCTAGGCTTCCAGAAAGCTTTGAAAATCTGGGTTTGTTCTCAGGCCCAAGGTTTATGTTTATGATTTGTCTAAGGCCCCTGTTTTGTTTTGCTGTTTATTCGTTTATTTTAACCTGGGCTAACTGTGCAATTTGATGGGGGTGTTTTTTAGTATTTTTATTGGGTTTTTTTCCCCCCTACATCCATATAACATTAAAGCTGGGCGGCCAATAAATTTAAATAAATGAATAAAACTACTGGACAGCCCCTGTTCCCACAATCTTCCAGAAGGAAGGCTGGATATAAATGTTCCAAATAAAAACATCTGATTCCAGCCACCTACTATCTGTCGGGGTAGAATTGATAAATAACTGGCACAGGGAGCAGTCAGGGGCAATCAGGAGGGGTGGTAAGAACTCACACCTTTTTCCAAGGTGATTGTTCAGGTCTTGCCCCTGCCCAATAAGAGCCCGTGTTTGTTTCTATATGGAAAGGACACTTACATGCCTGGCCTTTACCAGACTTTGCCGTTGCTGGTATGGCATCCGGTTACTGCTTGGCTGTGAAGTCTGTAGGCGTGGCCTGAACTGGGATGGGGCCACCGGAATCAGAGGCTGGGGAGGCACAGGCAGCAGGTGCTGCTGCTGCTGGTTAGACTGGTGCGGCTGGTGGTGAGGCTGGGATGGTTGGGACGGCTGTGGAAGCTGTGGTGGTGGCTGTGGCTGCAAAGGAGGGTGCAAAGGGCCCTGTACATTTGAAAACATGGCAGGTATGAGGTCACATTTGCTCCCTGATTGCTAAGCAAGATATAATCATCACTGAACGAGGAAAAAGCTCTTAACAGAAACTAAGGTTTTTCAGAAATTGGGAGTTGGAAGACAATAAGCGTTTAGGCGCCAGTGGAAAGTACCATCTGACTGAGACTTTTTAAATCAAATATATATTTTCCTAGAATTAGACAGCAGCAGAAGCTGCATAATCTAGGGGGAAAAAAGACACTACAGATAGTCCTTGACTTACAACCATTTGTTTAGTGACCATTCGAAGTTACAAAGGCACTGAAAGAAAAAGTGACTTCTGACTGGTTCCCACACTCATAACCGTCACAGCATCTCCACGGTCATGTGATCAGAATTCAGGTGCTTGGCAACTGGCATGTCAACTTTATGACAGTTGCAACATCCTGGGGTCAATGTGATTGACATTTGTGACCTTCCCAGCCGGCTTCTGACAAGCGTAGTCAATGGAGGAAGCTGGATTAGCTTAACGACTGCATGATGCATGTAAAATCTACAGCAATACACTTAACAACTGTGGCAAAAACAGCTGCAATATCAGGCATGACTTGCTTAACAACTGCCTTGCTGGGCAATGGGAAATTTGGTCCCATTTGTGGTTGTAAGTCGAGGACTATACAACCCATTCTCCATAGGATCCAAAGCTAGGACAAGAAGTAACAAATGGAAACTTATCAAGGAGGGATCCAACCTAGAACTAATGAGAAATTTGCTGAGAGTAAGAACAATTAATCACTGGAACTGGCTTATGTCCAGAGGTTCTAGGTGCTCCATCACTGGAGATTTTTAAGAAGAAACTGGACAGCCATTTGTCTGAAATGGTAGAGGATTTCCTGCTTGAGCAGGGGGTTGGACTAGAAGACCTCCAAGGTCCCTTCCAACTTTGTTATTCCATCATTCTGACTTCCTGTATTGTCTGCTTCAAAGTTTCAATCTCTGTTTACTCTGTTGACCAACTTTCAATCTTCAAATCCAAAGAGTTGCATAGTCCAATTAAAATACCACTCAATTCTAATCGGATGAATTCAGATTAATCTAAGGGCTCTCCTGAATTGTACTGGAGCTCTTCCTTTTTGGGGATGAAAGTGAATATCACAGCTAGAATCTGAACATTTTCAATTTTAATAAAACACAGAATCTTTTTTTTTTTTAATGCTTCAACGAACAAACTACTGGAAGCCGTTGTTTGTTATCTGAGCTCTCATGGAAGAAAATGAAACACCAGCAGAGGGAGCTCTAAGTCTTGTAGTGTTCCAGATTTGATGTTTTTAAATGCCTGCTTAACAGACACACTTAACAGAAACTTATTTTCAGGAAATAGACTTTGGTATCTCTTCTGGAGTAAATCAATTTTAGGAAATCATGGAATACGTAACAATGTCATATTACAAACTTCTCTAATCTCATTAGCTCTGTGAACAGCTTCACAAAAATCAACCTTTTTTTAATGTCTTCACTTTGAAGCGTTCTCATGATACGGTTGCAGTTAGCTCTTATAATACAATCAGTGCTGGCCACCAGTGGTGGAGGTGGTGGTAGGAAGAGTAATGCTGTCATGCTTGGCACAGCAATACAAAGACAGGTTTAAATTGCATCGAATGTTAAGTATTTAAGCTCTGTTTATAAGGAAGCTTCTCTCAACATTCTGCTTAAGCAATGTATGGTCTGAATTAAGACTAAATGTAATAGCCTATAGCAGCTCCCCCCCCTCCAGAAAATATGACCCACTCCAGATAGGTTTGGACTACAACTCCCAGAATCCCTCTGACAGCACAAGTATGCTAAGCAGATCAATATTTACAACTTACTTTACCCTTAGCCTGAAATATGAAAGAAAAGTGACTGCTTTACATAGAGGAGGGTTTGAAGGAAGGGCCAAAAAAGGCACGGTAAAAGCTGGCTATTTTCTCCCAAGCACCAGACAAGAGAGTTGCCATCTTTTTCTTTATGTGACTGCAAATAGCAGCTCTATATTATTCTCTAAAGTCATATTCTTGCAAAAAAGACAAGAAAGGAACAATAGGGAAGAACAAGGACACTGGAGGACTTACACGGGAGAGTTCAGGTTAGAATGGTCGTGGAGATGAGACTCAACAGTGATGAGAAGGGTTTTCCTGATCATTACATACCTGCATGCCAGCTTGGGTGAGGGGGGTTAGGAAAGGCTGTCCTGGGAGCTGCAGGAAGGACTGCCGTGGGGGAAGAAAAGGTCGTGCGTTGGCTGCTCCAGGCTGGCTGAAGTGAAGGATTCCCACGGGGCCCTGAGGCTGCAGACTTGGTCTTACCAGCCTTTCTCTTGGAAACAGGGGTTGCTGCCCCTGCTGGCTGAAACCAGGTCCAGACGGACTGAATGGGAGCTGATTTTGGCTAGGCACAGAGTGCGTGCTGTTAAGAAGTGGGGGTGGCGGAGGCGGTGGGCTCCGCTGTTCAAACAAGTGATGACCAGGAAATCTTGGCTCTGTCAGAAAGATTAAAAAAAAAAAAAAAGGAGATAGCATTAAACCAACTCATCTGCCAAGCAAAATACGACCTTTGGTCCAACCCCACTGGAAATAAAAGTCTCAGAGAGAGTTGCCAGGAGTATGGCCAACAGCTTCTTCCATTAGCCTAGTATATACTCTATTCCAACTAGAAGTCACCAATTGTGTAAACAAATCACCCTGTAGTTGGTGCATCACTTCCCAAAAATTTTCTGTGGTTAAGAATGCATCAACAAGGTAAAAAAAAATGTATAGGAAAAAGGTCTGGGCCACTAACCTCGCAGCTTCAAGAGTATGTATATAACTGCTAAATACAATGGGACAATTTTGAGATTGGCCAAATGATAAGATGGGGAAGATTCTGGCTTCGTAGTTTTCAATCCTATCCCTGAAAAAAATGTATCTTCCCACATGGTAAGACAATGGTCGTACCTCCCATAAAGAAAGGTTCTCTCTCTTGTGGAGGTGGGGGAGGAAGTGGGGGTGGAGGTCCTCGCCACTGATCTTGGAGAGAAAGTCGTGGGGCTTGGTTGAAATTGCTAGGAACAGGTCCAGGAGCGTTTTGTTGAAAGTCTGGAGGGCCCTGCATGATTTAAAAAAAGAGAGATGAAAGAGAAATGAGGCACAATTCCTCTTGTAAAGTTTCTTCACTAGTCCATTACTTTTAGAAGAAAATGTGTAACAAATACATACAAATATCTGTTCTATAATCTGCACAACTTGCCCTCATTGCAAGTTTCCATCTTTTGTTGTTCCTGTGAACACAGAATCTAAGGACATGTTTACAAAAAACTCAAAATGTTTTAATAACCACAACAGCCCTGTAGGAGTGCCATTCCTTTTCAAGATTACTGAAATCCTTACAATTATTGAACTTCTATCCCATTAATCCAAAAGTCTGAATGTCTACTTTATGCTCCTGTCACTTAATCTTTTAAAACCATGATATTCTTTGCTATCTATTTAATACAGCCTAAACAACTAAAAATGAAGCTAGTTTAATTTTCTGGTGTCAAACTATGATCCGTGGCCCTCTTCATACACATATGCACATACATATATGTGCTCTGAAGTAAAAAATAAAATAAATTCAAGAATAAGGAAGAGAACATTTGACACCTACTATCCTAAATACTTAAGGAGCTGAGACATTTATTATAATAAAGATATGGACAATTAACATAGACATCCTACTCTTCATTTTAAATAAATGGGTTAGACAGACAGATATTTAACTATTTCGTTATCAGCAAGGGGAGAAACTTTAAAATTTAAGCTCTGATTTTCACCTCGGTACCAACACCATTACAGAATGTACTTAAAAAGGCATGAGCTTTTTAAGATCCAGACGCTAACAGGAAGTGACAATATTGTATGATCATTCTTCCCAAAATAAATACTTTTGCCTATTTGTATTCCCATTGACCCTTCAAGTCACACATTATCACTATCATCATTCAAGTACCAAACCTGAACAGAACAGTTGTCTAGCTAACTTGCACACTTAATATTGTAATGCCACATCCTGGATAATTTAGTCTCGTTTTAATGACTACTTTCTTTGCATGTAAATGTGAATGCTTTGATTAATATATTAAAGGATAAGATATGACATGGTAATATATTAACCAAGTGTACTTAAGTATGTAAGAATAGCTATGTTCTTTAACACTGATTTATACATACAGTATCAATATAGCTGGGGCTCCAAATGTGTTAAGGGCCCCATTTCTTGATTATATTAACATCTATAGCAATAATTTTATTCCACAACCATACATATTTATTCTGAATTGTTTTACAATATATGCTAAGCAGAATCATTGGCCAAGGTGGGCAACTATTCCCCATAGTGGGTATGAGATTAATACTGGATACATTAAGTACCCATAATTATTACTAGATATTCATGTATCATCCTTCATGAACTGGTCTAATCCTAACTTAAAGGAATTTAGCAGTCTGTGAAGATCATAAATTGTTCTGAATTTTTTCAAAGTTGATTTACTCCCTCCTGGAACATGTTATATCTGAGTCTAATCCCTCAGTCCAACAGCATTACTGTTAACCCAGCAGATTTTTGCTTCAAAGTAATTTTTGTAGCTATTACATGATATTACACATGTTCTATGTCATATTCTGTGTATCCACTTGTTATACGTTTCACGTCCCCTTTTTATTTTTTTAGAATGTTAGAAAAATGTGTTACAGAGTACAGGATTATAAATGTAGCTGCTACCTATATCTCTGTAAAATAACTATCTTTTTTTAGCATTTGGGAACTACCTCTAAAGGGCTGGACAGGCCTATTAATTAGGTTCCAGTTTATCTCCAACAATTTCACAAAACAGAGGAAAAAACACGTTGTTTTGCCTGAATGACAAATTTCATTAACCTACAATTTGTTTTCAAATACACTAGCCAATGTTTACTATGCTGCTTTTACTTTAATGAGAATGAGTACCTGAGCAATAAATAAATTACAGAAAATGTATTATATTCTTTAGTTGTAAACATTAACTATCCTGCTTAAAATATTTTTAAAAGACACGAAAAGTTTTGCATACATTATTTTTAGGGATGAGGCTTCCTTAATGTGTACACCAGTTTTTCCTCAATCTGGACAATTTGTAAGATGTCTGAATTTCAACTCCCAGAACTCCCCAAGATTTCCCCAGGAATTCTGGGAGTTGAAGACCAGATATCTCGAAGTTGCCCAGGCTGCTCTATGCTTTCCAGTTTTACACTAAACACACACATGCATATATGATAATGCTAACTATAAACTATTTTATTAGATTTATATCCTTTTAATTTTAAAATAATATGATGATAAAGGTTTTCCTCACTTAGTGCAACTTTTAACTTGAGGCAGGCATTTCAGATGATCTAATATGTTTGCCATGTTGCTTTTCAAATAGAATTCGGCCTTGGATGGATTTCCATCTCTAACTTCTGCTTGAAGTTCATTTTAATCCCAAGGAACTTACTCCTCTTACTTTAGTCAACAGATATCCATCTAACTGGAAGAGGACCGCAGACAAAAGATTATGCTTAAACCTAGTACTCCTGAAGAGATTATTTCCCTTGGGATATGAACAAGCACAATCAGTTCTTAAGCAAAGCATTTTAGATATGAAACATCAGAATGAAAAAAGCACAATTTCATCCATTATAATTATAGGAAATCAGCTCTATCGCTCCACACCTCTCCATGGTGCCTCAATTTGTTCTCTCTTTCTAAATATCACACAATGTTTACACTAGCAATATTTTAGATTTAACAAAATTCCTTACACAAGACATTTACCTCTGTGATTTCATGGCATTAGTATTGCAGGCTCTTTATTATTATTTTACCTGCTTTCACACCATGACTACAAAATGCTATTATGATTCCTCTAATTACTTTTTTCCCCCATGGATGCCTTGATGATGTTATATAAATTTCTTTGTGGATCATGACTACGATATTGTAGGAATTAGCTAGATTTGGTCAATTAAAATATTGAAATTATTGAATGAGATACCTTAATTTAATTAAGCTTAAACTTCAGGAGCTTATGGCCTTTTTTTTTTTTTAACAGAAATTAAGTTTTGAAAATTCTGGCAAAACATCTGACATACACAACCAGGAGTTCTTCCATGGTTGCAAACTAGGAAGAGAAAAAGTAGAAGCACAATATATTCTAATCTGTTAGGTTAACAGATACACTAAATGAAATAAAAATACAGCTTTTTTGGGGGGTGGGGGTGGGGAATGACCTGTGGTTAAAGTCTGCATTCAACAACACTTTAATACTGCAGGGGACACCACCAAAGATGTAAGTTTTCACACTCACAATCACTACTGTACAATAGACGAAAAGAATCAGTATGTTCAATAAAATAATAGTTTCTCTTTTTTAATGATTGTAGCAAATTTCAAATATGAGTAACAAAATTAAATCATAACAGTTTATAAATCTGAAACGACAACATTTTAGGGCTATGTTTTTTTTTAACTTTGGGGGCTGAAGTGGTCTTGCTGGTTTTGAAAAAAAAAAGCTTATTTTTGAGAGACGCAATCTATGTTAGCCTTGCATGATTTTATCAGCCAAGGAAAACAAAAAGAGGGATGAGAAAAGTTTGAAAGACCCCCACAAGCCAGGTCTGCTAGGACTGAAGTTTCAGAATGGTATACCCATCCCTAAACTTCATTTAAAGAAGTTCAGAGCCCCGGGCCACAAGTGTCTTTTGCCTATTAAAACAGACACTCCTTTCATGGTGCCTGACATTCTATAGCATGAACATTTATACAACATATTGAAGTGTTTGCTCGTACCGTCTCAGCAACAATAGTATTACCCCCCATTGCACGTGGGACAGCTAAGACAAGATATAGAGGTGTGCCTTAGGCTTAGTAAATTTATGGCAGTGGCAAGATAACACTGGAGACATTTTCAGTCTCTTAGCTGTCTCTTTGCCAGAAACTCTTCAAAGTCTGCATGTGACAGCTTTTACATTCAAACCCTGAAGTTGTGAAATTACTTCTGTCACCTTTATTAAAGAAATGTTAGATGAGTTGTTGCAAGTTTTAAATAGCTTAAATCTATATAAGAACCGTTTTCGCCAAAGAAACCGTCTGATACATATATGTTTTGCAACAGGCACCATCCTAGAAAAGCTTATCACTTTGTTTGCAATGGGAAAAGAAAGATGTACATGGGCCATGCTATAATAGCTTCTGTGATATTTATCAACACCATTTTTTTTTTAAAAAAAGTAAACGCTCCCTCAATAACTATAGCTTTCAGAAATTACAATATAAAGTCTACGTTTTCTAGAAGTAATTTACCTTAATTTTTTGAGCTCTGTTATGAAAACATGCAACAGGGATTATCAACTTCTTTTGTAAGGATAATGTAATCCTCAACTCAAACTCAGCTGATGGTGATTTCATAGTCTCCAAGTAGTGTTGTTGTTTTTTACTTCCTAATGCATCTTACAGCTCTGATTTCTGGTAATTTCCTACCCATATATTAGCCAAGCTGAATTTGCTTAATTTCTTTGAGATCAGCCAACATTGGCTAAATGCTGTCACCCAACGTAGGCATCACAAATTAAGAGAAATATGGTTAACCAATGTCTATAATAATTATTATTTTGCATAGATATTTCAGCTATGCATCAAACTAAAGGCATAGCATGGGTGTTACCAATTACTATTGCAAGCATCTGCTCTAACGTCTACCTATGGTTGGTCGGGGAATCTGATTAGCTTGTTCAGCATTCAGCATAGACAACAATGCAACTGTCTGAAAGAATATGAGATAAGGTTACTTTTAATCCTGTCAAAATATTAAACTATTTTGCTTTCCTTTGATCCTCTCAAATATAATCCCTAGTTTAAAAAAAATTAACGTTCTCTCGCACACAATTCTCATACGAATTCTACTTTTACTTTTTGGCATCTCTTGTTAATTACATGATATTATCTCTTATAATCTATTCATGAACCTGACAGAACTTTGGCTACCAATAAAAGAGAAAACTTAGCATAAATTGCTTAGTGCTACAGTAATATTATAAATTAAAGCATAA